TTTTACTAGGATATTTGACGTTACTCTAGACATTTGCAGTCTGAATAACATATCTAAAAATCATTTTCAAATACTTTATCTTTAAAAGATATGTTAAGGAAAGTAAAATACTCAAATTATGTAGTTTTCTTCTTATAACCGGAAGTTGTCGTTTTTGTTTCTGGTGGGACTGACATATTTCGAAACTACAAATGAGATGCAATAAAGTGATGCAAAAAAAGATTCAAAAAAGAAAAGTTGAAATTTTCGATTTCTTTGATCACTTCCTGTGACGACCGGAAGTGACGGCTGACACTTTTAACCCAAATGGGCTCACCTATTCCTCAAGATCTATTACTCATATAAGTTTGGTGTCTTAATCTCTTACCGTTTCTGAGATCTCATTCGGAAAAAATATTTTTGAAAAAATCGGACATATCTGACGACCGGAAGTGAATTTCTTTTTTACTAATTTTACTAAGATATTTGACGTTACTCTAGACATTTGCAGTCTGAATAACATATCAAAAAATCATTTTCAAATACTTTATCTATAAAAGATATTTAAGGGAAAGTAAAATACTCAAATAATGTAGTGTTATTCTTAGAACCGGAAGTTGTCATTTTTGTTTCCGGTTGGACTGACATCAGGCTTGGGGTAATGCTAAATGTAATGGTAATGCATTGCAATGCATTACTTGGACTCAAAGTAATGCTAGTAATGTGTAATGCCAAAAAATTTGCATTACATGTAATGATAATGTAATGCATTACTTTATCAAATCCAGAGTAATGCTGGCATTTCATAGCATTACAAAGCATTATTTTGTATTTACTTTTTTTTTAAATATTACAAATGGACAAAGAAATTATTGTTTAGATATTTTTTTTTCAAATGATAGAAATGAATGAAAAAAGTTAACCTATTTAAGGTGGTATAGGATACCAAACGAAATTTCTCCTACATATTTATGTACCCAAATTAGAAGGATTTGAAATACCCCCACCTTTCAGTATATTAAAGTGTAATTTTAATAATTCTTTTATTATTTTAATGAGAAATATAAAAACGATTTTTTTCTTGCATAATTCTTTTTTCATAAGCTTAATATTATAGGCAGGCGTTTGCTAATATAAAGTGTTTATAAAAACAAAAATGACAAGAAATATGTCTTAGTATTTTTTTAATTTTCAACAAAAAATAAGCGTAAAAAAAGGGAAAACTTTATTTCTTGAAAACAGACGGATAACATTTCATGAAAGTCTACAATAAGAATGTATCTTAATATGTTAGCAAAGTGAAATAAACAAATTGAAAATATATATATAAATGGAAAATATAAAATGCATTAAAATTTTTTTGAATTAAAAGATCCGAGCGGAAGAGTTATCCTTCTTTATTTTCCAAGGGTTGAAAAAACCTGGGTGCTATTTTAGAAATGATGAGCATTTTTTCCCAACCATAAAAAAATCGCACTTTGTAGTTTTCAACTTTGAGCGGTTTTGAAAACAATGCATGGACAATCGCTTTCCAGGACGTGTCTTGTTCAGAGCAATTGCATTCATCTGAACGTTTTGGGACTATATACAACAGCTAGCTGATTTGTGACCAAACAGTTACTTCTTGAATTGAATAACAAAAAAGTCCAGCTCTGGTTAACGTGATAATTGATTGGTGATATTCAGCATAATGTGAAGTAATTGCACTTATCCATGCCTCACCGCACACAAGGTGCTGTACAGTTACTCAAACAATTGAAATACAGCTTTTGCTTAAAAGTGTTCAAAAGCAGCAATGTTGAAACTACCTTTTACAGGGGTTTGCTTTTTTAAATGTCCGTTGTACAATTATAAGTAAATTTATATACTTGCGATTTTTTTGTCTGTTTTTACTTAAAATGCCGACTTGTGAGAACTTGCATCGAAATAGGCTTCAGAGTGTTCTTTTCAACGGTGTATCTACAAATTTTGACCCGATAATAAGCACTCATGCAAATCAAAACAATACTTCAAACGGAAATACGTCATAACGTGGAGGTATCCCATACTACCTTAAATAAACTCTCTGTATCTATTTAAATACAAATTTTATTCTGTTGAAAGTACAGTTACCACACATTTAAATTTTCATACTTATTTAAGATTAAATATAACTTTCTAAGAACATTTTAAAGAGATTTTTTAAAATATCCTTTAAGAAATAATTCCGGTTTGAGGGGTTTATTCCCACTTAGCCAACATTTTGAAAAATCCTATTCCCACATAGCCAACATTTTTATTTTTACACCTGAGTGATCAACAGACTATAGTTTGTTTTCAGGTATATATGTGATTTAGCTGAGAATTACTCTTTTGAAAAAAATATTGTAAAAATAAATTCAAATGAAAACTTTAGTCAAAATATAAAAATAAAATTTAAATTAAAAAAAATATGAAGTTCTAGAAAAAAAAAAAGAATTAATTTATATAAATGTAGTAAAAAAATAAATATAAATCTGCATTTTTTAAATTAAAAATTGAATATTGATAAAAGAAAATATTGAAAATTAATTAAGAAATAAAGTATTTTAAATGATACAAAAAAAGTGTATATTACATTGTAGAAACAATTTTGAATATTCTAAAATATTTTTAACAGTTGTGATTAAAAATATTTAATGTGTGATAAATAATGTGATGCAAAAAAAAATTCAAAAAAGAAAAGTTGAAATTTTCGATTTCTTTGATCACTTCCATTGACGACCGGAAGTGACGGCTGACACTCTTAACCCAAATGGGCTCGCCTACTCCTCAAGATCTATTACTCGTATAAGTTTTGTGTCTTTATCTCTTACTGTTTTTGAGAATTCACGCGGAAAAAATATTTTTGTGTCTTTATCTCTTACTGTTTTTGAGAATTCACGCGGAAAAAATATTTTTGAGAAAAACGGAAATCGGACATATCTGATGACCGGAAGTGAATTTAAAAAAAATGAAAAAAAAAAACGCCTCAGGGTATTTTCATTCTCTATCAACCCTGAAAATTTCAGGAAAATCCATCCAGCCAACTCTGAGAAATCCTGCCGACAAAAAAAGGGGAAAAAATAAAAATAAAAATAATAATAAACAGTACAATCACCATAGTCGCCCGCATGGCACAGTGGTTAGAGCATCTGCTCTAGAGTCGCGAAGTAAGGAGTTGATCCTTATTTCGTGGGTTCGAATCCCACTGTGGGATGTGGAGACCGGTCCTTCGGATGAGACTGTATAAACCGAGGTCCTGTGTCGCAGTAGGTGCTGGCACGAAAAAAGATCCCACACTGCTCAATGGCCCTGAGTGCCGAGTATAGGACAAAATTTGCAGCTCTCCTTCGGCAAGTGGTGGGGTCTCCATATGAGTGAAAAATTCTCGAGAGGGACATTAAACATACAAACAAACAAACAATCACCATAAGGTCTTCCATCTGGAATGGAAGACCTTAACTAGAAATTTGTTGCCATGGCAACAAGAAGCTCTTCCGTCCCTTCTCCGTCATGAGAGAAGTTGATTCCTCACTTGTTACACTATCTGTATTATGTTGTGCATTCTTTTTAACTCCTTCATACATGAAATACTATAAAACGTAAATTGTAAAATATGTTGCGTAATTCAAACAGAAAATTATACCAGATATCATTTCAAAAATACAGTATTATATTTCAGCTGAGAAAAGGTACAAAAAAATCCAGACATTCTGGGGATTGAGTCCATGTCGGCTGCGTGAAAATTGAACACGCTAACCATTACGCTAGTGGGACCATTTCTTATAAGAATCTCTATTATCCCTAGTAAAATCATTAAAAAATATTGAAAAACAAAAAGGTTGAAAAATTCGACTTTTTTTATTCCCTTCCAGTAGCGACCAAAACTATAAATGATGCACAAAAGGCAATTCTGCAAATCTAGAGGTCATGTTCTATCATCTCTAATAAGTCATTTAGATCTGCCGGGGAAAAAAATTTCATTTAAAAATCAGGAAATTGCCCATAACATGGAACTAGAAGTGAGTTTTCCAAAACTCTTTCAAATGTAACAATGGCTATTTCCCCTGAGAGATGATCATGAATAATTCATGATTTTCCTTGAATTATTCATGAATTTTATTCATGAAGTGTTCATGAAATGTTCATGAAGATCCTATGAACTTATTATTGGACATTTTCAAATCATGAATTTTTATTCATGAAAGAAAGTTGATGAATATTCATGAATATATTTTTTCATGAATAATTCATGAAGAGTCATATTCATGAAGATTCATCATTTTAAGAATTGTCCAATAATAAGTTCATTGCATCTTCATGAACTGTTCATGAATAATTTATAAAATTTATTCAGGAATGTTCATGAATGAATAAAATTCATGAACTATTCATGAATATTCTTGCTTATTTGTATACAAAAAATGCAATATTATTATTCACTTTTATTCATGAAAATGCAAGAAGTCTAATCAAGCAAAAAACTGTAAAAGAAGATATTTTATAATACAGCATCTTGAAAGATTTCAGAAAATATCTGTTTGTTTTCCAACAATGGCAACAAAATGTTTTTTTTAAAGTAAACAACTCTCAGACTGATAAGTTGATAACCATAATTATGTATACATGTATATCTTATTTTGCTCTTATTTAAAGTGACAAACTAGAAAGAGTTGAAGTATCTTGAAACACTGTTTACAGACAGACGTAAAGAACTGATATTAGCTGAATTTGAGCTCCCTCTTCTTTTAATAACAATAAAAAAAACAGCATTCAAATGGCAACACATTTTCATAGTATTGAAGGCTTTGCAATTGCCTTACCACTTACTTGCAACTTTTTGAATGTTTTGAATTTCTCATGTACATGTAGTTCATTCCTGGTAAAATTATGAAAAATTTCAAACACGACTCTGTGCAGAATCCTAAACCTTACTTGGTAAAGAGGAGGGCGGGGTCCTTCCTCAGCATATTTCAAAGCGGGTTTTTTTGGCCAGAAATGGAACAGTTTTTAATTCCAGTCTAGGAGAAAAGTCTGTTTAGCAATAGGGCAACAGCTTTGAGGGCTATCAAGCATTTTCGAGCAGAAATGGTCAATTCCAAGATTCTTCTTGGTTCTCCATTTGGAATTTCCAGAATTTCATCATTCGGATCCTTTGATCGAATATCATTCATATTTTCATTTCTTTCTTTTGTTTTTTCAAGAGCCCGGATTTTTTTGCCGAGTTTCTTATCTTCTGATCTCAACTCATCAACATCATTTACGAACTGCTTCTCTTTTCCCTACAAGAACAAGGATTTTCTGAAAATGCCCATGAAGATTTCTGTTACATTTCTTAACTAATGAGAATCAACAAATCTTAAACTTTAACATTTTTACACTGAAACATGGTATTATAATGAAGGTTGCCAAGAACATTCACCTTAAAAAATTCATCTATAAATATCTAGTATACTCTTTATTTAGCTGAAAAGTGTAGTATTAAAAGCAACTTTTGGTGTGTAATGCTAAAAAGTTACATTTACCAAAACAGATTGACATAAAGTTGCAAATGAAACTGCAAAGGGGATCATAAATTTACCGAGGACTACCGGGGTAGGTCATCCAATATTAAAACAATGATTCTTAAAAGTTTATCATGGCTTAAACACTATAACATAATTAAATATGAAAAATACTAATTTGTCCTTGTCTAAAGATTCCCTGGACCTAAATTAATGGTTCAAATCTTCAGTGTCACTTTCTGAAGAAAGTGTGCCTATTAAAACAGAATTAAAAGAAATTTTCAGGCAATTTATAACAAAAATAAGATTTTTTTCCCTAAAAAAAAAAAAAAAAAAAAAAAATTAAAAAGGTAAGTGCAGAGAGATGCTGCAAACAGTTCAAAGGTTACTAGGTACATTAACCTGCTTGATTTACCTGTAGTATTTAGTGATGTGGCAGGTGGTGACTGCCTTTCTGTTGCTGAATCAGATGATGAAGCTGGTGCTCTTTTTAGGAGCAAATTTGTTTGCCTTGAAAATAGTTTGCTGGAACAGGATGCTATTTAGAAAAAAATATTTTCATTTTTAATGATAGACTATTTGTGTCTGTGTAATCATTTTAATTTGTGAAAGTATAATTATTCTAATAGATTAACTTAAGAGAGTTGAACTGTTTGGCTTACACTTTAAAAGAAACTTTTCATACGTACTGATGCATCCTGAAATGTATGGTTAAATTCTCCAGTTCCTTCTTTTATTTTCTCAAGATGTTTCTTGTCATCTACAAATTTACAATAAAACAATTATATGACTTTTAACTTAGAATTTTCATTTTACACAACTCTTATTAGCATCCACAGTCTTGGGTCAAAACATTTTGTATGTGCCTTATCTAATCAATTAAAGCACCATTAGATTACAAGTGTAAAAGTGGTCAGGACCCCCCCCCCCCCCCTTCCAAAAAAAAAATTCATACTCTTAAAGTTTTGAATTCTTATTGTAAATTTACCAAAATTAGGTTTTATCCCCTTCCCTGCCATTAGCTAAAGATACAGGAAAAAACTTATACTTTTCTTGCAAGTTTTATTAATTTTAGTTTTATGCATCATAAGCAGATCTAGAAGGGGTGGCAGTTCTTCCATAGAGCAGTCTGAGAGGAAGTTAGCCTTTTTCCCTCGGCTGTCATGTTGTACCCGTCAATAGGCCTATGAATGTTTTGATAAACTAGCCTATCTATAATTAATGTATATTACTTTGGTTGGATCCCCACTCAAAGCAAAGTTTGGCAAAGTCTTCATTTTAAAAAAAAACAAAATAATTTAACAAATAGAGTAACATCTACTGACAGATATCTGATTAAATGATTAAATCAGTGATTGCCTACCGTTTTTTGTAACTCACCACAAATCTCTGAAGTTATGGCTGCAAAGTAGATTGATCCTCTGAATATATATATTCTTCCTTCTTCGTATTCTGTTATTTCCTTAAGAGGCTGACAAAGAATGACTACGCTAATTATAATACTTTAATATCGATCCTCCTACTCTATCAATTCACATTTCCAACGTCTTGCGCGTTTCAAGTTTGCGCCTTTCGTCTTGACCAATGGAAACTTGGGTTCTTAAAAATGTAAGGCAGAGCTAGGATGTAGTTTCGAATCCCCACAACCATGCAATCTGTGTTGTATCATTTAAACACGATGCATGGAAAAAGTATGACTTTTTAACTACATCAATATTTTTGTACGGGGATAAAGCGTTTCGACCCAAGAATAGTACGGTACAGTACGGATAAGACACATAATCTTTTAGTTGTAAATAAATATATGACGTGTTTTAACGAAGATTACGAAGTTTTTTCTTAATTGTTTCAGTTTCTCACAACTTGCTTTAATTTTGACTTTAGAGAAAATTCGGTCGAAGAAAGTACGTTGCGTAGTGAAAAATGAGATTATTTAAAGCACATTTTCAATGTAACTGGTTAATTATAATAATAATAATAATAATAATAATAATAAAATAATAAAGGAACATGGGTAATTTAATAAAAAAAAAAATTGCTGGGCTATGCAATGATGATGCAGTGTTTGTTTAATTATAATCAAAACACGAAATGTTTACAGATTTCATGATTTATATTTTTTCAGATAGTAGATAAATGAAAACATGTAATTAATTATCAGGTCCAGTACAAAGACTATTAATAGCTACGTAGGTATTTAAACCTACCCAAAGTAGCTATTTTTACCTACTTTTTGCATTACTTCCATAATGCATAGGCGCTCCCCAGCTTAATTGTTAAAAAATATATAACTACTATACTATAGTAGTTAAATATTTTTTAACATTTAAGCTGGGGAGTGCCTATGGCATTTTTTGGCCAAACTGCGCAACATGGTACCGTGAGTACCAAATTTCTAAATGCAGTCACACTGATGATGAATACAACCAAATTTTGGCCACAAATTGATAACGTCTTAAATTAACAATTTTGCATTAATTACTATGCAAAATTCTTAATTTATGAAGTAATCATTTTTTGGTCAAAGTTTTGTTGTATTCATCATTAGTGTGACTGTAGCAAGAAATTTGGTACTCACCATGTTGCGCCGTTTGGCCATTTGGCCACAAAATGCAAGTAATGCAAAAAGTAGGTAAAAATAGCTACTTTGGGTAGGTTTAAATACCTACGTAGCTATTCATAGCTACGTAGGTAGAAATAGTCTTTGGACTGGACCTGATTATACCAGGGGCTTGTTCAACAGTGCATGTGCATGCAAAAGTTGTATTATGGGAGTTATGAGTGTTTTCTGGCAATCGCTTGTGTCAATTAAGTCTTCATGAAAATTCATGAACATTCATTACCTTGAACTAAATGTTTTTTTTTCTGTTTTTAAACTGAAAATTACCTATATTCATATATATTCATCATTTGTTCATGAACTACATTTTATGAATATATTCATGAATAAAATTCATGAACCATCTTTATGAACCAGTCATGAACCAGTCATGAATACATCATGAATTTTCATGAATGATTCATCAAAGTTCCTGAAATTATGAATTTCATCTCGCAGGGGTTAAAACGCATTATCCCTGAAAGTTTGACGAAAAACCACTGAATAGTTTTCGAGATATGGCCTGCACAATATTTGTCTAAAAAATATTAATAATAATTACAATATTTATTATCAATTTTCAAACAAATTATATATTATGCATTCGGAAAAGAGTCTCTATTAACCCTATTAATATCATCAAAATATATTGAAAAACAAAAAAGTTGAAAAATTTGACGTTTTAAATTTGCTTCCTATAGCGACCGGAAGTAGTGACAACACACTAAATGGCAATTCTGGTAATCTAGAAGGCCTATTCTATCATCTCTCATAAGTCTCCAGTTCATACCTTTAGTCGTTCTTTAGGTTTGCATAGGTTTAGGACAACATTCCATTTAAAAATCAGGAATTTGCCCATATTTTGGAACTGGAAGCAAATTTTCCAAATTTTACTTGTGATGAACAAAGTTCATATGATAACTCATTTTTTGTGAAAGTTTCTTCGAAAACTACTGAATAGTTTTTGAGAAATCGCATGCAGAAAATTTTGGTCCAAAAAAAGAATAATAATGAGAAACAGTAGAATCACTATAAGGTCTTCCGTGAATGCGGAAGATCTTAATAAATAGTGGAAAAGAAACCTAAGAAAAATAAGGTCTTCCGCTGAAGACGGAAGACCTTAATGATAGGGAAAAAGAAACTGAAAGAAAACAATAAAGTCTTCCGTTGATGAAAGACCTTAATAAGGAACAATAAAATCACTATAAGGTCTTCCGTGAAGACAGAAGACCTTAATAACAGAATGCCGTGTAAGGTTCACGTCAAAACATGCCTGACGCAAAATAATTCCTGAATTTTCCCCTTCAATTCGAGCATTTCTGCATTGGACAGGGCTGATGTTTGTTTATGAGATGATAGACTATGTGTAAACTTTCTTAGTTTAGCGGAATCATTAACATTTTCGGCGTGATGAATAATTTGTTTACAGTAGTTATGGGGCTTTCGCGCACCTGCAGGAGCGGATCCAAGGATTTACAAATTTTATAAAAACGATGGAAATGAAGTTCTAATACTTATAAATATTATTTAATGAAATTATCAATATGCAAGTAATAGATATAGAAGAAAAAGTGAAATGGTAATGAATGCAGCTGACAGTCGCCACGTTTTTAAGATGAATTAATTCTAAATAAAATAATTATAAATTCTATAGAAAAAATAGAAGAAGAATGAATGGTAGCAAAATATCAAATCACGTCAGGGGAACTGAATTTCATTAATGAAACTCTTAAGAAGTTCCTTATAAGTTGTATATTTTATATCTGCCTATTCCACCTGGCTACTTTGAGGGGGGTGGGGGGTCTTGAACATAAACATGTAAATTACCATTATTTTGTAGAAAGAATTGAGCCTTATCATTTTGAAAACTTCAAGAAGAGTTGCTTGTGATATGAAGGTCAAGGTCATTTTATTTAGAATCCAAAACATAAAAGCGTTCATTACAATAAAAGAGAAGGGGGTCTGTAAAGATGACAATGTCTTCTACAGTTCACAAAATAAAAGGGGGGCGCACACATGGTATATATCATATACAACCATTTTTATTTAATATAAACTTGTTTTTATGGCAACAGGAAGGTTTTTCTGTCCTCTCTCAATCACCAGAGAAGTGTTACCTCTATACTTAATCCTACGCAAATGAGCCCTAAGCAGTCCCCTATATATACGAAAAGAAATATCAATATTTTGTAGTGTTTAAGAAATGTTGGTCCCACATTTTCAGAAATTTTAAGATATTTAAAGATATTTAATTCCTTCTTAATCAAATGAAGAAACTGGCAATACGTAAAATCTTAAAGAGGGGCCTTTACATACCCTATGAATATTACAGAAAAAAGAAGTTAGAAAGACGAAGAAATTGGAAAAATCGACTTTTTAATCCGCTTTCTGTGACGACCGGAAGTATTGATGATGGAAAAAATGTTCACGGTGACATCTACAAGTCATTATCTATCATATCTGACAGAGTTTACTTTCATATCTTAAGCTGTTCTGGAGAAATGGAGCGGACAGTCCTTTACAAAATTTGGTCTATATACAATAATATTAAGAATACAGTACAAGTCGTTTATTATCATAGTTTATTTGTCAGGCCAAAACTTTATGATAAGCGACTATTATAATAACCATAGTCTGCCGAAATTCATGTCAGATGTCTGACATGAAACGACGTTTGTGGAATTTATTGGATGTACATGTATTATACATGTTATGTGACATGTAATTTCAGTTTTTTTTACGTTTATTTGAAATACAAATTAATTGACATATCATTTCTCAATATTTACTTACTGTTTCAACTTTTTGTAGTAAATAAATTCACTGAAATAAAGCTTAATAGTCTACGAACTCTCTAGAAGAATTTCGAACTATTCTTCTAGATCGCTTGGCATCCATCTTGTTTATTTTCATTTTGGTCTACTTTCATTTTTAAATAAATGATCAACTCAAACTACCAATATTTCGTTTTTTACGTCGCATATCAAATAAAAAACTCAACGAAAGAGCGTACATTCAAATTGTTTATTTCTTTTATTCATCCAAAGTAGACATAAAAATGTACAAACGAAAGAGCGTAAAAATACACATATATCACCTCAAAATCAAACAAAAACTGTACTTACCAATCGGAATATATTAACGGTATCAAAATAATTTTACAACAACAGTGCATGCATTCAAATTGTTTCTTTTATTCAATTTTTTTGTTAAACCAAAGTAGACATAAAAAACATACAAACTAAAGAACGTTTAAATACAGATTCAGCATGTCAGTTCAGCATTTCACCATCTCACAACATACTTACCAATATACGTACGGTATCCAGTTGATGAATTTGGTGATTTTCCGTTGTATTTTCAGGAGTTCAAAGATCTTCTTACACTTGTCCTCTAATTCGTAAAGTTGGTCGAAATCATCACAGCTGTTCTCCTCCATGAATCTTCTAATGATTTTTAGCGCTTCTTCGACTTCACCTCTGGTTACGGGTAGTTGAAATTCCTCGTTCTCCTCAATCTCTGCGTCGTCCTCCGGATCTCGTGACTCTTCTGCCATGATGTCAGCACAGATTTCTTCTTCGGTCGTAACATGATGACAGTGAATATCCTCTTCGGCTCTCAATAACTCGTTGAACTGTTCTTCCGTCACACCCTCTGGAATCTCACTGTTTTCTTCGTCAGAATCTGCCTGGTGTTCATCAGCTGTAAATCCGGCCTTCCTGAAGCAGTTCTGTATAGTGGAAGATTTCACGGCGTTCCAGGCTTTCCTAAGCATGTGAATTGCATCCAGCAGTGTTACACGCTTGGCAAGGTCGTTTGCAGAGAGCTCCGAGTTGTCAATGTCACTGATGATTTTCTTTACCACTTCACTCCTGTAGCTGGATTTTAAATTTCTTATGATGCCTTGATCACATGGTTGAATCAATGATGTAGTGTTGGGAGGCAGAAATTCCAGGCGGATGTTTGATAGTCGCTGTGCTGATTCCTTGGGATGGGCGCTGCAGTTATCCACAAACAGGATAACTTTTCTTTTCTGTCGACACATATCACGATTGAAATCACGAATCCATTCACTAAAAATCTCACCAGTCATCCAAGAATTTCTGTTAGCTGCATACTTCACTGGAAGACTCTTCTTTCCTCGGAAACACCTGGGGTCTTTGCTCTTCCCAATCACTAATAATTTTCTTTTATCCGTGCCTGTCATGTTGGTGGCGATCATGGCTGTCACACGCTCTTTTGCTTTCTTGGATCCGCTGGTCTGTTGATTTTTGAAAGTGAGGGTTCCCTCTGGAATTGCTCTGTAATAAAGACCTGTTTCGTCTGCGTTGCACACATCATCGGGCTTGTATTCTCGTAGAATTTCTGGTAGAACGTTGACTTTCCAGTGGTCTGCAGCGTTGGTGTCAGCATCTTTCTTTTCCCAGTGCATTCGCTTAAATCCTATGTTTCCCTATCCTTTCCAATGGGAGAGCCAGCCGTCTGTTGCTTTGAAGTCCGTCACATTGAGGCGTTCCGCAAGCTCTGTCGCTTTTTCTTGAAGGATAGATCCCGTGATTGGAATATCCCGGTGCCTGGCTGCTTTAAACCATTCCTTCAATGCTCCCCCAACTTCCGCAGTTTTTCCACCTCTTTGCCGTTTTCTGTCGGAATTGCACACGACTCATAATCTTCTTTAATCTTTAATCTGTTCTTTGAGATGAGGCTCACTGTTGATTGGGAAATTCCGAGACGCCTCGCCATTTCTGACTGTGATTTTTTCTGGTCTAGAAGTTTCACTATGTTGAACTTTTGAGAAAGGTACATGTCATTTCTCTTCCTTTTGTTGGCCATTGTCGAAATAAAGCACAATATTATTCACATGTGGAATCATAAACATGAATCACAGCACAAAATAAAAAAAAAAATAAACAAAAGCACTAATCACAAAAAACACAGATACACAGCACTATAGATGGAGAACAATTACGGCAAACTTATAGGAAGTGCCGTTAGAAGATTTTCAGAGAATATGAGAGAAAATAGCACTAGAATATTATTGGGGGGAATGCTCCACGAAGCTTGTGCTCCACGAAGCAACTGATGAAGTGGGACAGTTGTGATCGTATTTATTGGCTGGAAGTGAACACATCCAAGCTAAGTGTCAGGGGAAAAATCTGTTCAGACACAAGCCCAAAGATTTTCTTCTTCTTTGCACCCAAGCAGCTTGCGCCAATTTACACTTAATGTCGCCGTATAATTGAAATTAATTGATACACTGATGAGCATGTAAATTCAAAGCCGCTTGGACAGACTGATAAAAGAGTTAATTTCACATCACTTCTTAATTAATCGGGCAGTTTTATAAATGTAATTAATTATGAACATTGATCAGGCAACAAGCGTAAGAAAGCTTGGGTTAATTGACGCTAAATTTAGTTTCAACACATTTGGTAAAACACATTTATTATCAATGTACAATGTCAAGATAAAAGAAGAAAATAAGATTGCGAACAGTTTTGTGTTGTCGTGTGGTTGTGTAATGTATTTCGTAAAATAAACAAACTTGGGTGTCAATCGCTCAGGTAAGTGCACTGGAGTGTGACTAATCTCCCCAGCCAAGCCATTGTGTATAGACAAGAGACAGTGCATGAACCACAGGTGGATAGGTGTTATCTTTTTGTTTTGTTGATTGCCCTGAGAGTGAAAAGGTGTGAAAAAAAATATTACGGATGAAAATTATCTATTATAGTAAGCGAAGTGTACACTTTTACCTATGATAATAACAGACGAAATTTACAATGAATTATTAAGAAATGGTTTTGTGTTTCAAATATCAATGATAAAAAATGAAGTATGATATAAAACCAGTATGATAAAAAATGACTTGTACTGTACTAGAAACTTGTTGCCATGGCAACAGGGTCTTCCGTCCCTTCTCCGTCATGAGAGAAGTTGATTCCTCACTCATAACTATCTGTATTACGTTGTGCATTCCTTTTAAGTCCTTAATACATGAAATACTATAAAACAAAAATTGAATGTAAAATATATTGTGTAATTGGAGCGGAAAATTATACCAGATATCATTCTAAAGAACCATGTTGTAGCCCGCATGGCACAGTGGCTAGAGCGTTTACTCTAGAGTCGCGAAGTAAGGAGTTGATCCTTACTTGGTGGGTTTGAATCCCACTGTGGGATGTGAAGACCGGTCCTTCGGATGAGACCGTATAAACCGAGGTCCCGTGTGGCAGTAGGTGTTGGCACGAAAAAGATCCCTCACTGCTCAATGGCCTTAAGTGCCGAGCATAGGACAAAATTTGCAGCTCTCCACCGGCAAGTGGTGGCGTCTCCATATGAGTGAAAAATTCTCGAGAGGGACGTTTAACAACAAACAAACATTTCAAAGATACAGTATTATATTTCAGCTGAAAAAAGGTACAAAAAAAAAAAAATCCAGACATTCTGGGGATTGAGTCCAGGTAACCTGCGTGAAAATTTAACACGCTATCCATTATGCTTATGGGACCATTTCTTATAAGAATCTTTATTATCCCTAGTAAAATCATTAAAATATATAGAGGCAAAAAAGTTGAAAAATTCAACTATTTTAATTCGCTTCAGGTAACGACCGGAACTATTGACGACGTACAAAAAGGCGATTCTGCAAATTTAGAAGTCATGTTCTATGCTCTCCAATAAGTCTCCAGTTCTTATCTTTAGCCGTTCTTTAGATCTGCCACAGAAAAATTCCATTTAAAAATCAGAAAACTGCCCGTTACATGGAACCGGAAGTGAATTTTTCCAAAATTTTTTCAAATGTAACAATGTCTTTTAAAAATGCATTATCCCTGAAAGATTGACAAAAAAACACTGAATAGTTCTGGAGATATCGTGTGCATAGTATTTGTCTTAAAAATATTAATAATAATTTTAATATTTATTATCAATTTTCAAACAAATTATATATTATGCATTCTGAAAAGAGTCTCTATTAACCCTACTAATATCAGCAAAATATATTGAAAAACAAAAAGATGAAAAATTTGATTTTTTTTATTCACTTCTGGTAGCGACCGGAAGTAGTGACAATGCATGAAAAGGAGATTCTGGTAATCTAGAAGTCATGTTCTATAATCTCTTAGTCTCCAGTTCATACCTTTAGTTGTTCTTTAGATATGCTGCGGACAAAATTCCATTTAAAAATCAGGAATTTTGCCCATAATTTGGAACCGGAAGCAAATTTTCCGAATTTTCTTTGTGATGAACAAAGTTCATATGATAACTCATTTTTTATGAAAGTTTCATTGAAAACTACTGAATTGTTTTCAAGAAATCGTGTGTACAAAATTTGGTCAGAAAAAAAAAGAATATTAACTAGTGCTTATTGTAACGGAAACGACTCCCCAATCCCTTATGATGCCCCATTCCCTACAAGCTTCAATAAATTAGACAATACTTTTGTAATATAGATGGACACTTTATTTTTAAGGGTATTTCATTGGAAAACTACTCCAATATAGCCATATGGGTATTAGCCAATCAAATTTCATCGCATGTGCTTGCAAATGTTTTCTACATTTTTCACATAAATTTTCTTATACTGTCTCACAATGCATACATTTGTGTTAAATATTAAAGAATGTCATTGAAAAAGAACAGAGATGTAACCCTTTAAGTATTAGTCAATCAGAATTCAGCATACGCGCATGCATGGCCTTGCATTCAATTTTGATACTATCATAATGTAGAAGCCCTATGTGCCTATCCATGTTGTAAATTTCATCTTGTTTTGTTGAAAACCAAGGGAGTCATAGACATTTAAAGTTTCAACCAATCAGATTGCAGCACACCTGCATGCGCATGTTTTCAAGAAATTTCCTTTATATAATGTTGTAGCACCTTATAATATATACTTATATTCTAAATTTCAAAGTATTTTGTCAAAAAACATGGAAATTATTGAGATTTTTGTATCAGCCAATCGGAGAAGAGCGAACGTGCATGCGTGTGAGTTCACGCTAATTGACCATGTTATCTTGTCTAGACTACTAATATATCTTTATATTTTGAGTTTCAAAGCAATTTATCAAGAAATATAAAAGTTACGGCTTCATCAAGTATATCAGTCATTTCACTCATTGCACGCACGCGCACGTGCATGCGTGTGCATGCAAAATGACCTTCGTTCTGAACACCTACACAACATGCCTATTAACCCTAAAAAGATTTCATGTCAATCGGATGAGTGGTTCTATGAGAACACTCCTGGACAAAAAAGTACCGGAGAAGAAAGTAGAAAAAAAGAATAAGAAGAAGAAGAAGAAGAAGAAGAAGAAGAAACAGAGTAAAAACAATATGTTCCCAAACTTCGCTTGGGGAACATAATAATAACTAGAAACTCATTGTGAGCATGTGAGGTCTTCCATCTGATTCTGAAAATAAAAACGAAAATTCAAGCTGAAAAAGAGATTAAAGAAATTCAGACAGTCAGGAGATTGAACCCTGGTCGTCAGTGTGAAAATCCAACGTGCTAACCATTAACCATTTACTTTTTTGCATCACTTCCTGTCACGACCAAAAGTAACGGCAATACAAGATTTTCTCACGATTCAAATAAACTGATCACCTTCTATCAGTCCTGAAAGTTTTAGACTTCAAGCGATTACTGTTGCCGAGCAATATTGTGAAAAAAAATTCTAATTTTGAGGACAGGTAAACACGCTACCGGAAGTGAATTTTTTGAAAAGTCTTTGTCTTTTCTCTAGACATTTGCAGTATCTACAACATACATGAAATTATTTCAAGCAATTTATCGATAAGCAATATTTATGAGAAAGTTAAATAAAAAAGTAATGTAGTTCATCTCCTAAAACCGGAAGTTGACGTTTTTGTTTCCAGTGGAATCTAACATATTTCAAAACAGCGAAAGAGATGTAATAAAGTGATTCAAGTTTTAATTCAAAAAAAGAAAAGTTAAAATTTTTTATTTCTTTGATCACTTCCTGTGACAAGCAGAAATGACGACTGACATGTTTAACTCAAAAGGTTTCGCCTACTCTTCAAGGTCTGTTACTCATAAAAGTTGGTGTTTTAATCTTTTACCTGTTTTTTGAGATCGCGCTCAGACAACTTCTCATTTTGAGGACAGAAAAACACGCGACTGGAAGTGAATTTTTGAAAGATATTTAAGGTTACTTTAGACATTTGCACTCTAAATAACATATTTAAAATTCATTTCAAATACTTTTATCTATAAAGAATATTTATGGGAAAATAAAATACTCAAATCATTTAGTTTTTCTCTTATAACCGGAAATTGTCTTTTTTGTTTCCGGTGGGACCAACATCTTTCGAATCTGCGAAAAAGATGCAATAAAGTGATGCAATTTTTAATTCAAAAAAGAAAATTGAAATTTTCGATTTCTTTGATCACTTCCTGTGAAGACCGGAAGTGACAGCTGATGCTCTGAACCCAAATGGTTTTGGCTACATCTTAAGGTCTGTTGCTCATACAAGTTTGGTGTCTTAATCTCTTACCGTTTCTGAGATCTTGCTCAGACAACTTCTCATTTTGAGGACAGAAAAACACGTGACTAGAAAGTGAATTTTACAAAGATAT